CCCTCATTTTTTTCTTACCCCTACAAAACGTCTCAATGTTTAAATGTGTTTATCAATGGGAACTAAGTTATATTTATTTAAACTTGTAAATAATAAAGAAATCTGCTCCATTCTACCCCGGTCCGTTTTTACACATTGTAAATAAACGTAAAGCATTTTAACAAAAACACATTTAACGAGATAACTGGGGGAGATTGCATGCAGACTTGATGTAAATTCTACCCGTGCCCGTGTACTGTACGGCGAACAGGAGCCTTAAAACCTATAATGTGTTTAGTAGTCCAGACATGATCGGATGTGTCAGGTAAAAAAACATTTACACCGTTCTATATAAATGTGACCATGTCACGGTCAAAGTATTGATAAGGGAGACATCGGGGGCCAAATCAAAATTCGACAACTACATTTTAAATACAGTTTATTATTATGACAGACTGAAACGTTCCGTGTGCTATAATATGTTTAATGACAATAACTCTTCTATCACCCACCCCTAAGATCGAACTCCCGAATCGGGTCAGTCATGAACACAATTTAGTTGTATATATGGGTTTGTGTATCACATCCTTTTGATACACGGAATTTAAAAAAAAAAGATTAGGACTTAATGATATAATTGCAGATGAAATTAGTCATTGATAAATGACAAAAATAATTTATATAAACTTGTTTTTGTTTTGACATTTCGTAATACTGTCGCCACTACAAAATGGCTTTCTTTATCTTCGATGGCATGTAACATGGCACTTTGAATAACGACAAGCTGAAAATGGCGACGTCCAAGAAGAAGGTGGTGGGAGGGAGGTGTCAAATGCCGGGGTCCACCCCTGTGGGTGGTCAGTGGTTGGCGTTCAAATGTAAAATCACGTAACTGCTGACTTTACGGTAAAACATTGTACGAGTTTTGATGACAGTTTTTCTTGTGTAAAAACTATCCATCCTAACTGTTGTGACTGCCAACTCTCCCCGAACTGTCCAATCTAACTGTTGTGACTGCCGACTCTCCCCGAACTGTCCACCCTAACTGTTGTGACAGCCGACACTCCCCGAACTGTCCACCCTAACTGTTGTGACTGCCGACTCTCCCCGAACTGTCCACCCTAACTGTTGTGACAGCCGACTCTCCCCGAACTGTCCAATCTAACTGTTGTGACTGCCGACTCTCCCCGAACTGTCCACCCTAACTGTTGTGACTGCGGACTCTCCCCGAACTGTCCATCCTACCTGATGTGACTGTCGACTCTCCCCGAACTGTCCAATCTAACTGTTGTGACTGCCGACTCTCCCCGAACTGTCCACCCTAACTGTTGTGACTGTCGACTCTCCCCGAACTGTCCAATCTAACTGTTGTGTCCACCCTAACTGTTGTGACTGCCGACTCTCCCCGAACTGTCCAATCTAACTGTTGTGACTGCCGACTCTCCCCGAACTGTCCAATCTAACTGTTGTGACTGCCGACTCTCCCCGAACTGTCCACCCTAACTGTTGTGACTGCCGACTCTCCCCGAACTGTCCACCCTAACTGTTGTGACGAGAGTTACATAAGTAGATATAATAAACAGATTAAAACTCGATAGGTGATTTAGATTCGGTAATACCTTAAACCTTGTAAATCGCCGTGACATCGACCAAAAAGGAAAACAACTTATATAGTGTCCGGTATTAAAGCGGGTATCCTATGGTTACAATAAAGAGTTCCAACCGTCTCAAGCAAGACATTTTACATTTCAACATTTATTCCTTGATACGTACTGCTGTTCTGATAAAGAAAATGTGAATTCACAATGAATCGAAAACAATGAGAATTATTATCAAACGATTCACTAGGTTAAGACTGTGTAACCCTCGCTTGGTCAAAATTGTCCCTAACGATTTAACGGCTAAAGATTTTATTTCTGCAACATAAAATGAAGCGCTGACCGATTGCACTGGCCAGTTTCTCCCGAGAGATGATGACAATAATTTTAGCATTTTTTCTAACATGCCGCGGCCTCTGAGCTACACTGCAGCAAACTGCAACCAAGACTCTATATACAGTATATCATAGGTCCATATTTAGACGTTCTATTTGTACATCAAGCACAATACTTTAGCAGTGGTAGAACAGAACGTTAATCGTAACAAATTAGCACCTACAGCGCCCCCTACCGGGATGTACCTATTAGTACCAGTTCAGACAGACAGGGTAATTAGTGATAACTTGTCAGTTGATTTGGGGACACTAATTAAGTACCTCCAATCAAGCGCACGTAAGAGGTATGTTTTCGCGGCTTTGGTTGATCTCGAGGTCGAACATTGGTCACTTTACGTCATAGTTTTTCACACTCGGCTCGTGACGTGGTTGACAAGCAACTCGTGCCATAACGATCGTTAATTGGGGAGGTTTACAGGGTCCCTCGCTCCGCAACTTGTATATAACAATTGATCGTAATGACGAATCATCTTCGATTGACTGATCTGATTTGATGTTAGTAATGAGCACATTTCACATGGAGATTTTCGTGACAAAGTGACCTTTAAAACTCTTCATTTTGAACATGATCTCAAAATTTTAAGTAAATTAAAATGTTGAATTATCCCTGTGATATAGATTTTTGTTGTAATGAACAGAGAGAGCGTTAATGTCTCCCTTTAGAGATGATGATTATGTTTAGGAAATGTTATATTTTTTTCTCTGTCAAACTTTCAATGTGACGAAAATGCTAGAGAAATATTATACACTACACAAAAAGTCACTGATATTTCAGATGATTAAACGCACAATGTGCAGTAAATTCTCTTTAGTGGGAAAATAATGTTTTCTAACAATGTCAGTGTTCACTATCACACAATCTTTGTACAATTAAAACATGAAATAAATTTACTTTGTGTTTGCATCAGTTATTAGAAGTTTAGAAATTTACTTTCTGTTTGCATCAGTTATTAGAAGTTTAGAAATTTACTTTCTGTTTGCATCAGTTATTAGAAGTTTAGAAATTTACTTTCTGTTTGCATCAGTTATTAGAAGTTTAGAAATTTACTTTCTGTTTGCATCAGTTATTAGAAGTTTAGAAATTTACTTTCTGTTTGCATCAGTTATTAGAAGTTTAGAAATTTACTTTCTGTTTGCATCAGTTATTAGAAGTTTAGAAATTTACTTTCTGTTTGCATCAGTTATTAGAAGTTTAGAAATTTACTTTCTGTTTGCATCAGTTATTAGAAGTTTAGAAATTTACGAGTATTTACTTCATCTAAATTATTGGGAGGTACAATTTTAATATCAGCACAGCTAGGGAGCTCGTTTAGTGACGTTTACACTGTTAATCTATTTATTAATGTTTAAAAAAAAACCCAGATAAATAATGATTATTAATTATTAATCTATGTTCATGGTGAAAAAATATTGCTTCGATATTTTTTCCCCCTTTCAAACAGGACCATGTAAATATACCAAGGATAGATAAAAAGAAAGAAATGAAAAAAAAAAATTAAATTAAAAAAAAAATTAAATTAAAAAAAAAAAAAAGAAAATCCGTTTCCTCCGCGATTTCCCAGAGATATGAGCTTATCTAACAACGATGAAGTAAATAGCATTGTGTGTGAATGTAGAGATAGCTCATGTTCTTGTGCAAATCACCCGGAAAGGAAACAAACAAATTCTTGTTTTGTTCACAAGAGAAATTTCAAAATCAAAGTTAAAGAATGCAAAAATATTTCAAATTCACATTACAGGTTATCGTGCTGCTATGGGTAGTTTGACGTAATTCTGTGACTTTTATTAGACAACATTTTATTGAATTCAAATTTCAAAACTCATGTGTCGTCGTTTGAAAGAACGAGAGTTATGTCCGTCAACAACATGTAACTATTGCGAAATGATTCTAAATTCTAAATTACCAAATTTGGTCTTGAATATTTAACTTTAAAGAGAAAGTAAATTTCATCTAATGAATGACAAAAAAAAAAAGAAGAAAAATAAGAAAGGCCCCCATAATACCAGGGATGTAAATAATACTTCATTATTAAACCTAGGTAATCTTACGCTGAATCGTGACGATCGTTACCTACTGCTCACAGAGACATTTCTGCCCTGGTCACGTTATATAAAGGTATTTCTCAGTATGACGCTGTGTGGTTCCAACTGATTTTTTTGTTGATATCTTTATGAAATGAATATTGTACCTTCCCGAAAATTTGACAGTGATATTTTCCAACCCATTAAACCACTAAAAAGTCATCGAGATTAAAATCTCTTTATTTAGACAGGTCTGACATATTGAGAGTTAATTTACAGGAAACTAAAATGGATTTAAAGATTGACGGTGGCATGTTTAAATATTTATCTTCCATATTTATTTTCTTTATATTTTTTCCCGAGCTCTGAGATTTTTCTTTATCAGAGCGTAAGGCCCTACCAATCGCTCCAGGGTGGACGAAGATGATATCTTGGCTTACACGCAGCTAATTAGGGGGGAGGGGCTTATCTTTGACATGAGAGCTTTTGATTGGCGATAAGGTTACTTGATTGACAGCTCTCGTGTCGGGGTATGAATTGACGTTTTGTTCCTGACAGTTCATACACAGAGAAGTGGAAATACTGGAAGGGCAGCAGTTCGTTTTCATAGTCAGTCAATTTAAACATTTCATGTGGAACTTTTTTGCGTGCAAGTCATACTAAGAAAAACAGGGGACATTTGTTCACTAGAGGTTAGTTATTTCGGTAGCTGGATTATTTCTACATAAGTGTTACACGAAGCCGAAGGGAAAACGACAAAAAGGACTCGAGTTCTCTAAGTAAAGAGCTCTTTAATCCTCGCCAATACTATTACACATGTAAGGCGATTTAAGGTATTCTCTCTGCGGGCATAAACGCGTACGTTTGTTTCTCTTGTGTGACGTTTTACTCAACATTTACTGTGTAGTGTTTGCGAAACAAGAGAAGTTTGTTTTCGTCTCTGCACAAATCTTTTTAAACACGTTTGGAGAAAGAAATGTAACCAGGATTTTTTTGTTTGTTTTAGGTAGCCCTGAACGGACTAGTGTGACTGCACGACAAGTGTTATACGAACTTATGGCTTCAAACCTGTGGTAGTCACATCGTAACATTTCACTACACAACTTCGCGTCATTCACAACAATGGCGGGTCATCTAGGACGCTTGGTGTTGGTACTTTACGTGACAACATTGTGTTATTTGATGGTGAGCGCTGAACAGAAGTTACAGTGCCAGGATGTCACCATACCGATGTGTCGTGGAATAGGTTACAACTTTACGTACATGCCGAACCAGTTCAATCACGAGACCCAGGAAGAAGCTGGACTGGAGGTTCATCAGTTTTATCCTTTGGTAGAGATAAAATGTTCGCCGGACCTCCGATTGTTTCTGTGTAGTATGTATGCACCTATCTGTATGGAAGGATACAACAATCATCTCCCCGCATGTCGCCCCGTGTGTGAACGAGCACGTGCTGGATGTGCACCCCTGATGGCCCAGTACGGATTTCAGTGGCCGGAGCGTATGAATTGTGATAACCTTCCGTTGTCTGGACTATGTGTGGATGCTAACGCAACTGATAGTTCAACAGCATCTCCGCGTCCACAACCTACACCTCCCCATGGCGACCGTCGTCCTCCCGATAAAAAATACATCCCGGATATACCACCACAGAAACCTAACAAACCTCGGATACCCACAACAGTAAAAAAGGACGTATATCCGGAGTGTTGTCAGTGTAAAATGGTGCGTCTGGAGCAGTCGAGTGGATTTTATAACGAGATAGTGACCGGAGGACTGGACAACTGTGCCCTTAACTGTACCAGTCCGTACTTTTCATCCGACGAGATGACATTCGCCTCGTTTTGGATAGGTTTGTGGTCCATCCTGTGTTGTATCTCTACTGCTATGACGGTGCTGACATTTTTTGTGGATATGCAAAGATTTAAGTATCCAGAGCGTCCTATCGTCTTCCTTAGCGCGTGCTACTTCATGGTCAGCTGCGGCTACATCATTCGCCTAATCGTTGGTCACGCGGCCGTCGCGTGCGATGGAAAGATGATTCGTTACGAGACTACTGGTCCAGCACTTTGTACGGTTGTATTTCTTCTTCTTTACTTCTTCGGGATGGCGTCTTCCATCTGGTGGGTGATTTTGTCATTTACATGGTTCTTGTCTGCTGGGTTGAAGTGGGGACAGGAAGCTATCGCCAGCTACTCCCAGTATTTTCACGTGGCTGCCTGGCTCATCCCTTCAGTAATGAGCATTGCCGTTCTGTTCAAGTCTTCCGTGGATGGTGACCCAATCGCCGGAGTATGTTACGTAGGCAACCAGAACATAGACAACCTCAGGGGATTTGTTCTTGCTCCACTTTTTATATTTCTCATCCTCGGCACTTCGTTCTTGATGGCCGGATTCGTGTCGTTATTCCGGATCCGGAGTGTGATTAAGGCTCAGGGACGTGGGAAGACAGACAAGCTGGAGCGGTTGATGATTCGTATAGGTGTGTTTTCTGTACTGTACACAGTTCCAGCTACCATTGTGATTGCGTGCTATTTCTATGAACAACATCTCAAAGAACGATGGGAGAAATCTTTGGTGTGTCCGTGTTATCAAGGTGCTATTAAACCAGAATATTCTGTATTTATGTTGAAATACTTCATGTGCTTAGTTGTGGGAATTACTTCCGGTTTCTGGATTTGGACCGGAAAGACAGTAGATTCCTGGAAACGTTTTTTCCATCGGACTGCTTGTTGTTGTGATAGAGACACTTCCGGGTATAGCTCTCGAATATCGAAATCTACGAACTCCAGTTACCCTGGTGTGAAAGCTCTCCCTCTTAGTCAGGTGTGACACAGTTCCCATAGAATGACTACTGATTAAAAGCCAAATATTATATAAGTTATATGTGTAAACACATGTATCGTCTCTCGAGATTATCCATATCTATTTGACCTAAAGAGGAAAAAAAAATCTCTCTAATTAGAGATTTCTCGATTAGCATTATCAAAACGCTAGCTAGTTGATACAGAAAAAATATTCAATGTTCGATTAAGTTTTTTCTTTGTTTTGAGCATATAGGTCGGATAATCTCGTGGAAATGTTGCTAGTTCCTGTTGTGTAACGTTTTAAGGCTGTTGAATTGAGCGTTCAGTTAGTAGATTGAACAGAACAAAAATATTTTTTTGAACATAAATGACATGAAAAAATATTTTTTATTGATATAAAACACATTGAAACAAATTCAATCTAGTTGAATTGCTTCTTAGTTGGAAATTCGGCGGAGAACAATGTTTAAAGAGAAGTGTTATCCGAATTTGCTGTTACAATATTAAGTTAACCAATCGTTTGCAGTCGTATAACATTGTTAGGTATTGATGGTACCTACGTGTGAAAAAGTGCCCATTTATAACTGAAGTTGGCAATGGGAATCTTTAGTGCAATATTACAATACAAAGTGTCCAGACAAGAGATTGATCAATATTGACTTACACAAATCTTGTGTTCCTACCTGTATGTTCCTCAATCGTTTTTTTTTATTTACAGTGAAAATTATTGATTTTTTTTTCTTTTTATAAATGTACCTCAAAAGAAGGGAGCCAATCAGTAGTGATACGAACCAGTACTACGGCGTTTTGTCGGCTAATTATTGGTGGAGTGTTCTCCGTACAACACCAAACTTGGTCAACAAACTGGCATCGCTTATATCTCAAGTGTTTAATGCATGTAAGCAATGACTTTTATAAAATTTGGCAACTAAGGAAAGAGTGTAAGTATACATTTAAAATTGTCACAACGCGATAGTGGATTATAAGTATTTTTTATTTTGTGTGTTAAAACATCGATCTCTTACAATTGCACGCAAAAAAAATTTCCAATTATGCAAAGAAAAATAAACATGATTATTTGGAACGGGAAAAAATACCCTTGTGAAAATGAACGTTTTTTTCTTTTTTTTTTATTCTTTTATCTGTTGCCCGTATTTTCTAACAGAACCACGTTTGATTTAAATGTTTGATTTAAATATATATATATATCACATTTGAGAATGATAATGTTACATTGCCATTTTGACATAAGTAATGTCATAAATTATTAATATTTTTTGTGAGAAGCAAGAAAGTGCATAGGGTTAATTTTGCACGTGGTAAAGTCTAGCTTATGTTGATAAAATGATATTATTTACTGTATAGTAATGTTGAAATGTACTAATTGTTATCTCCGAATATAGGGTAAAATACGGATGTTTTTTGACAGGAAAGAGAATGAATTAATTCTTTCCGTAAAATGAGAAAAACAGATTTCTCCCGTCCTCTCTCCGACAAAAAATAGTGTATTGTTTACCATACTGCCTCCGGCCGGAAGTGTGTGTCTGCGGATGCAGGGATCATTAATTATTTTGGAATTCTGTCATGAAATTGACAAATATTAGCCTGTAGGTGTTGTTCTTTTGTCAATTACGTGACAGGAAACATGATGAGAAGAGCTGGCTGACACTCGCTACCATTCAGTATTATCCTACGCCCAAATCGGGGCTGTTGTCCTTTAACCCCTTAGATACAATTAACCAATGGTCGCCTCCTTATGTCTCTTGCGTCCCGGGAAAACAAATTACATCCAGTATTTCTGCTATATTTTGACAAAGATGAGTTGTTGCCTTCTGTATCATACGAATTAATTAATGATCCCTATCTTGCGCATGTGTACGAGATAATTTTTGTTGTTGTATATGCCATATTTATTTATAAGACACAAACTATGTACATACATTCATTGACACCCAAAGATCGCCATTTTGATAGGAACTATAATTTTTGCCGTGTTATCATTACGTTGTTGTACTTAAGTTGTAACTTTTGGTTATGTGTATTCAAATCAAGCGATGGCTATTCCCTATTCCACCACCGTATTCATCCATCAAAATTAGATCTTACACACTATTCAAATTATTGTATTTTATAAACAGCTATTTTTTGTATTTTTTTCCCTATAAAAATGACTATTAAACATAATGATACTTTGTATGCAAATATATCATATTATTACAAAAATATGTATGATGATATTTTTGCAAACATATAAATGTATAATTATGATAAGGAAGGAAAATTGTGACTTATTGTGGGTAAAAATTATCTAAATTTTTGCCGTAAATTAGTAAATAATTTTATGTTAGTGGTAAATCAGTGTAATGAATTAATTAAGAATGAATATCCTATTTATCCAGACTCGACAATAACGGATACATTGAACTACAGTAGCAGTCTTTATCAAAACAAGGAACATCATAGATCTATCCACGTCATCAAAATGTCGCCTCTTAACATTGGTCACAGATACTGACAGGTTTTCTGTATTCATTTAAAATATATCGCCTTTGTTGTCAAGTTTGAGGATAGGGACAGTTCAACACAAGGCTTTTTATGTGTTTTACCGATAATGGACCCCATTCCGAATTGAAATTATCTGATAGGCCAAATTTTTAAAACTTGAAAATTTCTACTTAAAAATTCCTTGTCCTTATTCACTGATTTTCTTCTCAAAATGAGGTTAAAAATGCAATATCCGAAACAAATGAATAAAAAATGTCATGAAACTAAAAAAAATCAGACCTTTTTGTATTTGTATCGAGGTAATACAAATTATCCATATATAAGATTTTCTTAATTCTACAATATGATTGTGATAAAGATTCAAAGACATATTTCTTAAACATGATCGTACAGAGTTGGAATGGTGCCCGACGGATTAAATCGTTTCCGCTGATCAAACTGGAACAAAGGATGAAAAAAATGTACATATATGACATCTTTGATTTTTAAAGTATCTTGAGAATATTTTTGATAAATTACCTTATCATAGTCGGATTATATTGATTTAGTTTCTCTGTGACTAAAGATCTTTTTTAGTTTAAGCCATTATTTCATGTTAAAACATCTCTCTATGTATACGATAGGGTTATTGTCAATAAAAAGGTTATCCATTTTCAGAAAAAAACTTTTCATTCTGAAATATTTATAAAGGAATGTTGAAATTTGAAAACGAAAATTTCTTGTGCCATAATAAAGAATAAAATTTGATTTATGTTTTAAACAATTCAATGAGTAGGACATGTTGATACCTTTAAGATTGATAGAATATAGAAATGAAAATGTAATTTTATATTGATATTCCTGTCTGTTGATAAATACAATATTTAGAGTTCTATCGATAGTAAATACGAGACTAGTGTTTATACCTTATTATTATAGAAATACAAGTTGAAAGATTACAGTTCTATTTAGGGTTTGGAATGTATTATCAGTCATAAACTCGAATTTCGAAATCCATCGAAAGTTTTTTCACCAAGTGCCCATTGTATGTCTATCAATGAAGAATACAAAACCATTGTGTCCCTGAAAAGCCTGTAATATAAGTACTTTATTGGTGACTGTCGAAGGCTTGTCACGAGGCACTCGTTTTCAGACGTTTTAAAACAGGTTACTAAACAATAAAATTGTCTGATTTTTAAAAATAAAATCCAGTCGACCAGAACGTGTATATATTGACAGTTTCAATATTAAAAATGGAAAATAATTCGAAAATTAAAAGGCGTAAAGTTATAGAATATGTTACCATAGAAACGACCGTTATTTGTGTTTTTTTGAGGAGAAGTTTTATGTTGTTCGGTAGTATTTCAGTTTCTCTAGCCGAGATGGTCAGAAGTGTCTTCTGTATGTCTGGACCCTTGCTATGTGATTCATTGCCATGTCGCTGGGAGTCAGTTCACAGTCCTTGTTTTGAATCAATTTGTGTTGTTTAACCGATGATAAGATGCGTTTTCCTTATTTAGAATGCGTTCATCAATGTTGGGTTTGTACATTGATATATTTATGTTATTTACACAAAAAACAAAAAAACGAAAATACACAAGTTGAAGACAATCAGTTTTGTTTTGTGTTTTCTATTAAAAAATTCCTGCAATAATTCCACAGACCGACATAATTATCATAACCATCGACAAAAATTTGATCAGGACAATGAAATAACATTATTTCATTTACTGAACAACAATTTATATGGATGGGCTTATTACCAGGCATGGGCTTATTACCAGACATTGACTTGCACGGACTTATTTCCGGGTAAATACGGTAGTCTGTATTAGGTATGTTTACATGTGGTGACTGAACCTTTTGCTTCTAAGTAAGAACATGACAGTTACAATTTTACATTATTATGAAAATCGCAATTTTCGGTATTGATGAATTTTATCGCGCTATAGAGAGTTATAACATTCACATCCACGTGGTTTTTTTTATCTGATTGTAAGAGTACAAATCTGCAGGTGAAATAAACATTTCTTTGAATTGATCGACACTTGCACCAGACATTCCCAACAAAACTTTATAACAAAATAATACCGATTATTGTCGTAACGTACTTAATGACCTCGCCACAAATCTTTACAATCCGTACTAATGCAGTGCATTGATACATAAACTCTGTTGTCGGCATGTAACGGGTTAGCTGTGGTTAGTGAAACAAACAATGACGTGCCAATCACATGTCATATTATTTTAAATTTCGGAAGCAGACACCCGATAAAGCTTGAAGTTTAGTTCTATTTTGGTGACACCACGAAACATACAGAACTGAATGAATATAACTAATGTAACGTCTGTATTCTCATTAACGTGGTACATTTTTATGGTGTAACAATACAAAATATCTTCTAGATTTCATATTTCGTTTTAAAGAACGGCCTTTTATACCTACACGTTTTTCAAGGGTTATCATAAACAGACAAATATTCTATCTATACTTATGTTCCATTTATAGTAACATCTGAAGTTGATGAAATTAGTTTATACTCACTATCTGAGTGACCTAGCCTAAAAATACAGACTTGGTACATAAATGTATATAAAGACTATTAGCCTTAAATCAATATTCCACCTGTAAGAATCGGAACGAAGAAGTGAATAGACAATTTCACATAGGATATCATTCTAGTCCACACAGGTAGACTTATACTGCAATATTAGCTTGCTAATTACTGTCAAATATTATTGGAATTTTCTTTCTTTAAACAGACAACTTCCCCTGGTCAGAGACTTAAACAGAACCAGCACAACGGGTTCACTGCTAGAATTCTGGCAGTTCTAATTGATCACGTGAATTTTCACCGATTCTAAAACATACAAATACACAGATTGAATGTTTAATAATACACAATAAACACATACTATCGTAAAATTAAATTTAAAAGTCTGTTTGAAATGTTTTCTTCGTTCAAATATTGAAATGGTGAGATGTGAATAATGGGAAGTGTAATGCGCAATATAAACACCGGGACCCGAGACGTGTGCTATTTTCCGGCCTGCGGGTTCACAGAGACACGTATAAATACCCAGCTAGTATACTAAGTCCTCAAGCTATCCAAATAGACCCGATTCCTGAATGACCAGTGAAAATGTCCATAACTTAGAGGAACATTCACACGCGTGTGTTGGCCTGGTTCATTTACCTGTGTATACATATATATATACCTGACACAACAAGTCATTAAATATCTTTCTAAACTATATGATATAATTTTGAAATCAAGAAACGTGGTCAGTGCTGAATATTGATTTGATAATGTAACAGAATATGTGAGTAGGTGTAAACGATATGTAACTAAAACAAATTTATTGAACTTAAGTGAAAAATAATTTCACATTCATCAGTAAGATATATTATGCTACGATTCCATTTTATATTCTAAAACAGTAATCAGCGGTATCTACAGATTAATATATATGTATCGTTGTCATTTTATTAAAATCAAATTATAAACATTGAATTACCTTCACAGTGTAGGCTGAGCATGAGATGCTCACATTTAAAAACAATGCTAAATATTGATGGGTCATTGTTTGGGACAAGTACAACGTCATTACACGTCATATTTAAGGTAATTCAAGAGAACCAGTTTTATGATTAAATCTTTATTCGCGTTAAAGGACGTTCAAACGAACTATCATATCATGGCGAAAAGTCTTCAAGCGAACCAGACTTTCTCCGAGTTTCGGATTTTATTTGACATGAGGACACAATAGGTGTAGTACAGGGCGATCACTGATTACTATTTAAACACGACTCGTTTAAAATACTATTTCTCAGTTTATCCTCATTTAAATACTTCTACTAATCCGTCTTTACTATAATATAGGAACCGTGTATATTACAGGAAGGTGTTTATAACCGGAACATTGTATGTATATGTTACTTTACACAAGTGTATTCGTGTGTGTTTTATTGAACGGACTAGCTCCTCGGAATGGAAATGGAATCAGTCGTTATTTATGTAGTATGTAGCGTGACGTCATAAACAGTCAGACGACAACCGGTGTCGTTATCATGTGCGTCGTTTCGATAATTTATGTTGATAATTGTTTAACGCCCAATCAACACGAGAGCCGTCAGGTATAATTCTTACACATTACATGCAGAGATTAGACAATAACAGCTGCTGTAGGTAATAGGTATTTGGTTGGTACCTGTAACTTTATATACAAAATACTATTAAGTTGAAATGAAAATCTTCAAGACAGACCAGTCAATAAATGTTCATCTTTGTTCAATTTCATTGAGTCGTAGCTGAGACCCATTCTATCTAACATACAGTGTCCTGGTCGGGAGTCGTAGCTGAGACCCATTCTATCTAACATACAGTATCCTGGTCGGGAGTCGTAGCTGAGACCCATTCTATCTAACATACGGTGTCCTGGTCGGGAGTTGAAGCTGAACCCATTCTATCTAACATACGGTGTCCTGGTCGGGAGTCGTAGCTGAGACCCATTCTATCTAACATACGGTGTCCTGGTCGGGAGTCTCGCTGAGACCCAAACTATCTAACA